TTGGCTTGGCACCATAAATTATAACTAGTTTAATCTAAATTACTATGCTGTAATATCATACAAAAATATACATTTTGTAATACAGATTCACTTCTGTGAAATACTAATGTTATGGAAAACAATGCGTCATTGTACCATGATTTTTTTACCACCTTCAATTATGAAGCGAGGTACACACAGTGCAAATGTACGGAGAGAGAACTAGTTGGAGCCTGAATATGCATATTGTAATAACAGCACATAGAAATGTGATATATCCTGGGTAAATTAATTAATTCTCTACCAGCAATGGTTTTAATTTAGAAATGGTTCTGAAAATATATTGTAAAATCTACATCAGTGAATCGTATAAACATATATTATGTCTAGAAAGTTTTCTCCACTATGGTTTAGTTCAAATTTAATCTAGTTTTAATTGTAGCTTTGATTTTAAAATCATCCATGCAACTTGCTCCATATATAACAAAAAAAAATATTAAAGATTAAAAATGAAGTTAGTCTGCATGTTGATTTCTGCCGGTTCTCATAATAAAGGCAACTGTTTCCACATTATTGAAAGCGACAGCATCACAAATCAACGCATGTCACAACAGAATAAAGACAGATGTATCTGATTAATCAGAATTAAATTTTAGAAATGGAGGAAGCATCTAAAAATCAAAGCAAACATTTCTGCTATCCTAGTTGTTTTTTTCCTCTTTCTAAGCAGCCTATAAAATGCAGTGAGAGCAACAAAGCCTGAATTCTGTTGATAAAACCAAAATTTCTGCTATAAACTTTTCACTGTGGCAACGGATATGGTAAAGAGATGTGCTCATTTCATATAACTTCTGCCTTATTTTGAAACTATGTTTATACAAACTTTCTGATTACAGGTTTTAATGCAAATTTTGTGTACTCAACAATATTTAGTAATAAATTCTAAGTAAATAAACCAGCTCAGTGTAACACTTCTACTAAAAAAATCCCACTCACATTTATTTGTTTAATTAATGCAGTATCTCTCATTCTGCGGGTAGTTTCTGTTCATCTAAGCTCTAAAGGAGGTAATGATTGGTATTCATTTATTGTGGACTCTATGATATGCAGCTCCCCCATTTCCCATCAATAGCTTGCCAACAGAATTTACAAAGAATACACTGCAGTACAGACTTATCTGAATAAGACAGAAATACTATTTGAACCAACAGAGCAATGAGCTATTGATCCTGCAGTCAAAAAGGGGAAGACACGAATGTAGGAAAAGGTGTGTGAAGGGGCATATTTATTCTGCTACCATTTGTCTTTCCTTGTGATAGTCCATTTTAAAAGCAGTTATTCTTATTTCTGGAAGAAAATAAAACTACTTGATGCTAAAGCAGCTGTGTAAAGATGTTTAATTCGGTAAATAAAATTCTACAAGTCACTATCCCCCTCGCAGATACCTATGGACACATACAGGTTCAGTACCCTATAATTAATATTTGCATTATGCTATAATATCCAGTACCTTCTAAAATATTTAGAGTGCAGTATACTTATAAACACTCTGAAGGAATTTCAGCTATTTCTCACGTAAGCTTTTTTTAAGTTTCAACAATAGTATAGTAGTATGCAAGAACAAACTTTTGCTGAATCACTCAGAGTTGAAATCCTCACCCTACAAACAGAAAACACTACACCAGTTGTCATGAAGGCAATTATGCAGCAAAATATGTGGGTGTTCTAGAAGGGAGTGAGCACGGCACGAAACAGTTAGTGCTATGCTAACTCCCTCTGTGGCAACATGTGATGCTTTCAAGGTGAGGCCAAGACAGATGAGGGTTGGGAAGATCGGGGGAGTAAATTATGGTCCAGGGACTAGAACTGCAGCATTGCAATCCAACAGCTCCCCTATACAACAAAGTATGGCCTCTCCTGGGCTGCAGGGATCCCTAGCCTAGTATTTTAGAAGAGTTTTCTGTGCTAGGTAGTGAAAGAGGGAAAAAGGAGAAGTTGTTCAGATGAAATGAATCTTCTGTCTTATGAGAATCACAGCTCTCCAGCCCAACTCCTTTTTATCTCTGTCCTTGGATCTCCTTCTTGCAAGATTTTTCTTCCTTTCATCTGTGATCTTATTCTACCAGACAGTAGTTAATGCAAGGAAATTTGTGGTTAGGCTGTATGTGCTTTTCAGTAGCTATATGTCACTCAAATTTAGCCTGCATCGGTCACTTTTGCTGAAGCGCCAAAGGATGCCCATGGTCAATAGGGAAGTCAGCGGTTTCCCTGTCAGTGACCGAACACAGTGATGAATTCAGTAAATCGGCTCTGGAAAAGGGAGCGTTTCTCCTGCTGCTAAGCTCCCCATTGACATATAGGCAGTTTATGCTTGGCCTTTAACTATTGCAAATAAGAAGGAAGCCCACAACTTAAACCTAACCAGGACAGACAAAATGCGGAGATAAGAGGGATGAGCACAGAATCCTGCTTGTATCACATACAAACAAGGCTGAAGGGGAAGAGCTGCCAAAAACTGTGTCTAGCGAGCTCCCTTCCTCCCAGAAGCTGTTCCACTCTTGGGAACTTTACTGTCTGGGGAGCAGCTCTGCCTCCTCCCACTGATTCTGCAGGCTTAGATCAGGAAATCTTTGCTCCTGGTCCTGCTACGCAGTTAGCTGGGCAGGACAGCCCAGTTCAAAGTCTCTACTTCCATAGGTACCGCAGCCCAAGAGCATTCTGCTCCCTAAAAAACTGAACACTGCACAAGATTTATGTCTTCGTAATCAGAAGCTAAATTCTAAAATAAAAAAGAAAAAATGAAGTTGGCACATTATGCCAACTTACATTATTCCAAGCTCTCTACCAACTCCTTGCTTTAGCAATTAAGTCAACAAGAGCAGTCTTTGTGTAGTACTCAATGTTCACATAAGAACTGCTGTACCTCATTGAGCTTTTCTTCCCATTTGAAATATTTATTATTGTAGCATTAATTACCATGCTACTATTATAAATAAAGGCAATTTGATTTCTGCAGCACCTCACAGCCAAGCATCTCAAATCATGTCACAAATACTAAGGCTTAACATCTGTGGGAAGAATACAATAATAGAAAAACTAGGTAGTACTTGGGTGGGACGCAGTCCTACCACACACAGCAATACATGGTTCAAGAGTTTAGGCACCAGAGAAAGAATACTGCCTCCTAATGAACTTTAGAAGAAAGTTAGCTAGAAATAATGATCAGTGGACTAGAATTCATCCAAAGCACTTTCCTGAACTTTTTCTCTTTAAAATAAATACTACCTGCAACATTTTGCATCTTAATGCAACAAATACAAAAAAAAAAAAAAGTATTTTACAACCACTTAAGAAACTTGTTTTTAGCAATCATCTCACTTGAAAGATCTCCATCCGAGTCACACCTCCAGAGCATGGCATCCAGTGGAACACATTGCAGTCGCCATTTGAGAGATGACTCAGAGTCTGCTGCTTAGTGGAGCACCAACATCACTTCCTACAACATGCATGTCTTTCCTCCTGAACTCCCACCCAAACTGGAACTCAGCCAGTGTCTGTTTAGCTCTTGAGATACACAGTAATCAACGTGCAGTCTGGCAGGACTGTGAGCATACCAGCAATAAAACTGATAAATAAATAAATCTCAGTACTTGCTATGAGTTGCTTTTAGCCGGCACTGAATAATTACAGCTGACGGTATGTTATACACATAAGTCAGCTGTAAACATACTTGAGTGACATTTATGTCCTAAAAAGTGTTTTAATAAGAAACCCTGTGAAGAAGATTGGAATCTCCATTGCAATCCAGAGGAACACTTACTTCCTTAGGGCTGCTTCAGGTGTAAGTGACAGCAGAAGGAAGTCTGACATACTTTATCGTATACTGCAGTAATACAGTGCTTTGTGCTTAGACCTTCCTCATATTAGAGGGTCACCCTCTATAGTTAATTCACTTACTGTACTTACCATGTAGAGGTGGCAAAATTACAAATCCACCTTTTCTCTCCTGCTACGATCTCCATCCATCAGTACACTTTTACATCCCATCTCTGAACCAAGAATAAAACCTTGCTTCCAAATTAATCTCAAAAGCTCTCATCAGCCTGTGCTACCGTTTGTCACTGGTTGACTACACATTACCATTATTCATACTGGTACTCAGGCTATACCCAAGGATCCTTTGATCCTCTTCCTCTCTCCACAAGTCAAACTATATCTGCATCCCAGCCCAAATCCTGTTTCTCTTCTCTGCAATACATTTATCAAAACTGGTGTTTCCTTTCACTGTCTAAACTTCTTACTCCATCTCATTTTGCCATTTTGAATGTAAGAGGAAACCCATCCTGAATGCAATTCTCAGGTGAAACAAGCAATTACACACTTTAAATCTACACAAAATGCCTTATTTTAGGTGCCGCTCTGAGCCACAGCTTTCAAGACTTAATTCTAACTCCTTCCTCTTCCATTACATGTTACTGAAGGTTTATGTCATTGTACTACAAACCTTCAGCACAACTATTCTTCTCTTCATAGGGTTGTTTTCTGTTGCCTCCATCTTTCTCTTCCACCACCAACCCAGCCTCAAGCTTACACCCACACTATCACAGTGCAACTGCAACTCAATTTCAATGGCTTATCTTGGCAGTCCTTGGCACAGAACCCATCTTTCGTGAGTTGCTTGAAAAGCTGTTACTCATTCCCTTTGCATTCTGATCCTTCACAGAAAACATTTTCACTGCAATATTTAAAAAAAAGAAAAGGACCGTTACCCTTACTAGTTGGCTATTATTAAAAGGTTGGGGAATAAAAGGGAAGAATGTAACAGCAAACAAACCCAGAAATTGTGTCACCTTTACACTGCACTGTTGGAACCTCC